TGTTATTATTATTCTTTCCATGTGAAGGGGGCAATTTTGCTACTGAACCACTGTGGTCCCAGCTGTGCATGTAGCCGCCCAGATGAGCACACTGCCGGTTCACTGTGCGTGAGCTGCTGGCCTAGCCATCCACCTCACCTCTGTGTGATGTGCGCAACCAAGACAAAACTGTATGACTGCCCCAAGGGAAGGCTCTCTGGATGCACTGTGTTCCTACAGGACTCCTTTCTCAGCCGTTTCCAACCATTAGTGGTCAGAGAAAAGATGCTGGGCTAAGCTGACCAGCATGGCTACCCTTATCTTCCCGAAAACGCTTGTCAAACGCACAGCCAGTGATTGCAAGCAAGGGTTGGGAGCTCACAAAGGGAAAGCAGAAGCCAAATGTAGACACTTGCAAAACCTACTGAGTGCTGTGATTTAGAAAGCACCCCTTTCTCTTCTGCTCCAGTATCCAGAAAATGAGGTGCTACTCAAAAAAAATGCCACGTGTCACTAACAATTATAAAATATCAGAAAACAAGTAACAATGAAAACCTGTGCACACCCTTGGGAGAAGGAGAGGGCCAACAGCATGTCATGTAGCAGCCCTTCTCTACCAGGCTGGCAGGGCTGCTGCCGACAACCCAGACACAGAGGATTACATCCCAAGGGCTGCTGTGGGTTAAGCAGTGCGTACACCCACCAGACCCCGTGCAAAATGGTGCAAGCCCTGCTCTGGGCACATGCAGACCAGCAAAGCCTTAGGGCTGAGCTGGCAAGCCGAGCTTCGCCCAGGGCTGCACAGCCATCTCTATCCAGCCATGGCCTCACGCCTGCTGGTTAGCAACACTCGCTGCCCAGTTTTGGGGCAGTGCCATCATAGCTACACCCTCCCCGCAGGGCTGGGTCAGAGTACAGGCCAAGGGACATCAGGTGTGCCTGCACTGACAGCAAGTGTTTTACCCTGGATGGGGTTCAAGGCTTTGCTCCCTTTTCGACGGCTCACTGTGTTAACTGAGCCACAGTGAACCGCATGAGTTCTCTCCGCTGGTGTGACCCTCCAGCTGGGAGCAACTGCAGGGCTACCAAAGGGTTGGGCAACAACATCCCAGCATGTGGCTCCTTGCTGGCATCAGGCAAGCCTGTGATCACTTTGAACACACACAGGATGGGTAGGGAGCCACATGTCATGGATCTGACCCTTTGGTTTGATGTCTATAAACAAGTGACCTAAAAAGAAGCACAGGCACCAAGGAGTTTGCTTTCCCTCAAAGCTTCTTGCACATTTTGCCTGGATGGGTTGCTCCCTCCCTCCTCCCAACCCCTCCATCCACACACCTCCCACCCCACCGCTGCTGCCACCACCACTCCTGCCTACTTCCTTGGGGTAAGCAGTGCGGTTTGACACGATTTTATCAGAGCTTGGAAAGGTTTGTGGTTCTTGTTAAACCTGTGGTGGGACAGTAAGTGCTGTTTGCTGCTTGTGGGATGAAGCACAGCTGAAATGGCGTCCTGCAGGCTGGGGGAACCTGGGTGAGCATCAGCTAGCCTGATGTGGTCTTACACTGCAAACCACTTCTGCATCCCAAATCTTGTTAAATATTTTGTGTCAGTCAAAAAGTCAGCCTGTACAAGGCACGGAAGGTTGTGCAGAAGACAGAATTGCCCCTCTGACATGTACTTTCCTGGAGTGTGCTGGACCCAGCCTTCTCACAGACGGCCCTGCTGGAGGAGTACGCCTTCCCAGGCGCTGTCACCAACGCACAGGTTTCTGAACACAAAGGTTTCTGGGTGCTCAAGAAAACAGTCACCCGATTGGTCCCTGCTGGTTGATGCCACACGAGCTAAAGGTGTTTCTCTGGGAGGACTGCACATCTCAAAGCACTTTCAGGGCTTCATGACGACCCCCTGCCTTGAACAAATCTTCCCTCAACCAAAAGCGAGTGAAGCCGGAACAAACAAAGCATTGACAAGGACAAGGATCATAGAATCACAGAATCATTGGGTTGGAAGGAACCTTAAAGATCATCTAGTTCCAACCCCCCTGCCAGGGGCAGGGACACCTTGCACTAGACCAGGTTGCTCAAAGCCCCATCCAGCCTGGCCTTGAACACTTCCAGGGATGGGGCATCCACAGCTTCTCTGGGCAACCTGTTCCAGTGCTTCACCACCCTCTCTGTGAAGAATTTCTTCCTGATGTCCAATCTAACCCTCCCCACTTTCAATTTAAACCCCTTCCTCCTTGTCCTGTCACTACAGGCCCTTGTAAAAAGCCCCCACCCCCACCCCCACCTTCCTTGTAGCCCCTTCAGGTACTGGAAGGCTGCAATAAGGACTCCCCAGAGCCTTCTCTTCTCCAGGCTGAACAAGCCCAACTCTCTCAACCTGTCTCCATAGCAGAGGTGTTCCAGCCCTCTGATCATCTCCATGGCCCTCCTCTGGACTCCTTCCAACCAGATCCATTAGGAAGAATTTTCATCTCTTCGATCTTCAGCAGAGCTGGTGGCAGATGATGACGCTGATGCCCTGCCACTGCTGCCTGTGGACAGGCACCGGGTAACTCATGGCAAGGTCACGGAAAACCACAAAATGGTGAAACCACTCACCTTATTTCTGTATGAACAGCATCACGTGGTTTAAAATACATGTTGTGGCAGTGTGCAACAGATTAGAAGTCTGAGGGTTAACCTCATTTGCTGAAGGGATTCCTCAGGGAAAAATAGTTGGAAACTCTTCTGGAGTTCCCTGGTTCTCTGGACCTCATCTTAATGTTCCATCTCAGTACCAAGTGATGAGGCTGCTCTCGCTGTATGTTCAACAGGCAGATTTCAGGTAAAGAGCGAACATCCTTTGAGGTACTGAACAGCCAAAATGACATTCCAGTTTCACATCTAGCAGTACTGAAAGGAAGTTTCCTGCAGCAAACTTCATCAAAGTAATGCACTGAGTTGTTGTGGTTCCTTTACCTCGATCATAACAGCATGAGTACGAGACCCTCTGAGCATGGTTGTCAATTACTGATTAGGCCTGGATTGACAGAATTAGTATTCTATTGGCATTTCTTTCCCCGGACCAACAGCCGTAAAAAACTTGCTTAATCATATCTTGACGTTAAAAATTCATGCACGTACCGGTGACATTTTAGCAGTTTTTGCAGAGTGACAGTCCTTTTATTTTCACGGGTTCAGTATACAGGCGCGTGATACACTGATGCTAAGAAAAGTCATGGCAAACAACTCACAGTAAAATCTGGAGAAGTCCAGATCTTCTAAATCAAGGCAGAAACAATTCTCACAGAATCTGTGATCAGTGACTAAATTCTATGTCATTTTATATTTGCTTAGTGCTATAAATAATCATTAGTGACAAGACTACCGTAACCTGAAAATAAGGCAGGGGCAAGATCTGATCTACATCTGTCTTATATTTATAGTGTTCATAGTGTATATTATTTTATATGCACACACTTGTATAAAAGAACAACAAAATAAAATTGTCCCCACAACAATAAAGAGGGTATATGGTACAGCTTATAAGTTCGGGTAGACAGCAAACCTGTTATCACATTCTATAGGTTATAGGGCACATTAATAGACAATGATGTATTAAAATTCTTTGTCAAATTTGCAAACGCGGCAGTAAGATATAGCATACAGTGGTGCTGATTCCTCGTTACTGCTTTTACTCCGGTTTACAGTAACAGCACTTTCACGTCACAGGAAACTTGGAAGTAGTAAGGTAATGAACGACAGTCAATCCACAGAATTCAGCAGAGCTGTAATATTTTAAAAGCAAGCAGAATTTTTTTGCGTGCGTTATTTTATAACCCTGAAGTTGAATTATTCGCATTTAGATTCTCTGCCTGTTTAATGCATATATATTTAAAAAAAAAAAAAAAAGACTTGCCTTATGGTATTGAGCAGCTTTGCTTTTTAATTTGGAAGCCAAAACTCAACTCATCGCCTTGCCACGGCTCTGTCAGCCCAAGCAAAAACCAAGCCACGGGAGCCCATGGCAGTCCCGTGGTTCCACCCCACTTACACAGTGGCTGACGTGTTGGCTTTTAACAGTGAGGGGCACTCCAAGTATCTAAGCACCCTACCTATAGCATTTAAAATCCTAAACTACTTTGGAACATTCATGTATTTTAACCTAGTGCTAAGCTGGCAAATATGATTTAATTACAAGTCTGTAATCTAGATAATAGCTTTCAAATCCACTGAAGCCAAGATGTGCCATAATATTCATACAGCTACACATACAGTTGTACCTAATTCCTAACTCTGCAGTGCTGCAACTCTCCAGCAGTAACAGAAATGTATGTATGTACACACGTAACAGAAAAGGAGCAAACCGGTGTTGTGGATGGACTTGTGTCTGCTGTTCTCGTGCTCCCTGATGACATTTGTATCAAAAACTGTATCAGCAGGGGACTGCTGCGGGAAAAGCAGCACAGAATGCTGCTCAAGAATGTCTGAAGGCAGACGGCCTGGTAGGTAAGTGGTAACGTCAGACACAAAGGGGCACTTTTGATAGCCAGGGCTGCTCGTGCTTCTGTTAGCCATGACTGCTCCAGAGCATGATGACAAGGTCTAACGGGGAAGCTTTGTAACAGCCATAAAAACTGGTTTATAGTTTTGCTGCACCAGACAATTTGTCCTTGGAGCTCTGAAAGAGAGAGGAGGCAGCCATGGGGGACTGAGGGGTCAAAAGGCAGCTGGTGATTCTACGTCTGGGTTAGATTTAAAGAAACTGTATTTTTCACGCTGCAAACCAATTTTTACCACAGAACCATCAGAATCAACAATAGGTTAGGCAGAGTGCATCTTCACTAATCTATCCCATAACAACACAGGAGCACAATTTTCAAATAGACATATTTATACGTCTGGTAACCACTTCTGTCCCCATTAAAGATCAGAAATGCTTTGGGACACATACACACACACACATTAAAAAAAATCCCAAACCAATACAAATTTTTTGTTGCTGTCAGAAACAAAGTGCCAGGTAGTAGCATGTCATCGTTTCCTGGTCCCACTGTTGCCACTGGCAGACTTACTGAAACTCCTGCTCATCTGTGGGAAGTGTACTGTTGGTGTTCTTTCAGTGGGGCCGTACAGCCCTAAATTCCTGGCCGTAGCTGACTTTCGAAGAGGCTTGACACTGGGAAAAGGATTGAAGACTTGTGGCTTTGGGTTCCCAGGCTGAGGAGATTTAGCCAGGTTTCCACTGTCAATGGATGAACTAGAGGACTCGGACAATCGTGGCTGGCAGGACGGATGGGATGTTGACTCAGCATCAGTTTTGTTATCTGAGGCGAGTTCTAGTGCTTCCAGTTTTAGCTGAATCACTGACATGCTTGTGCTGCTGTCCGTAGAGACTGGATCAGATGACTGCGGGTCAGCTTTTCGAGTAGTCCTATCATCCAAACCACCTCCTTCTCTTTCTCCAAAGTCAGAATGTTTGGAATTCTCCACCTTCGCACCAGGACTGTTTGTTTTACAGCTCTCGCCCTGCTCGTCTATTAGCCCTATGGTATCCCCGTAGCCCAGATGGCCTTTGGCCCTAGCAATATTCTTTCGATGAACTCTAATGTGAGTGCGCCACGGAGAGTTCAGTTTTGTTTTAAGATCTTCTTGGGGAATGGGAGACATCTTCCCTGTGGCATGACTTGGGATGTGAATAACAGCATTTTTGAGAGATCTGTTATTCAATTTCATCTTCTTTCCTAAAAGGAGGTGGTTTATCACCGGGGAATGGTTTACCTGAGATGGGAGGAGGCTGGTAACTGGCCCTTTATCTGAAAGAAAGTGTTTAGAAGAAACACTGTACTGGTAAAGATCAAAACAAATTAATGTTCTAAAAATCCAACACCAAATTTGATAACTTTCTTGAGGTATAGCAAACATCTGTAAGACTGACTTCTATTTAAAAAAGCCGAAACCACTGAATTTCTCTTACATCTTGGAGTCAAACACAAAGCTGGAACTTCTATAATAAAGCTTTCCTGTCCTTCTCTCCCAGTTTCTTACCTATGGAAAAGTCACCAGCCAGGAATACCACAAAAATAAGTCATAACTAAAATAGCTTCTCCACTTTTGGAATTGCACTGTAAGTGTAAGTGATAGTTTAACATTAACATTGGCTTCTGATCTTTCCCCTTCACTTCTCTTCCAACTGTAAGAGGCAATTCAGTCCCTACATGAGGTCAGTCAAATAAGCCTCTCCATGAGGCTTGTGTGACTGGAGAAAGAATCAATGTATTTTTAATGGATAAACCACATCAATTATTTTCTATTAGGTGTTGTTATTAAACCAGAGCAGTAGAGTCAGAATTAGGTAGTTAGATGACAGTTTGATTAAACCACAAACCCAGCCCCGCACCATGATTAGTGAGATTAGAAAGGTTTGCGTTTGAGGAGGGGGTTGGCAATCCTTGGGAATCAACATTTTACTGTTTGCACTGTCTCTGCTGGCTACAGCCTTCGTTTAAAGCAAATACTTTGCCAATATTCAAAAAAACCCACCTTTCCTTACAAATTATGTTATTGTTAATGAAAAGCTGCAGCTCTGTGTATTGAAATGCTCCTGCTAGGACAAGTTTAGACAATCTAGAAGAAGAATAAAAATTCTCCACAGTGATCCATCTGCATAGTTCCAATGCCAGCTCAGAAAGATGACATCTGAGTGGGGAGAGCTGTGTTCAGCTTGCACACCCACTAAAACCTCCAGCTGTGCTGCTCATGCTAACTCCCACACTGCCGAGTTTGCTGACTGAGGAAACAGGCTCCGTAATGTGGGCTGTTAAATAACGGGCTGATGTCCAACTCGATTATTGCAGCAGTATTGTTATCAGCCACAATGAAACACCTAAGCCAGTTCTTTAGCTGCATAATTTACCATGCCCAGATGAACTCGGAGGAGTTAGGACAATATGGACCAGCTATGAATCTACCTGCCACTTTGTCTGAAGTGTACTCATCTCCCCATTTCCCTTTTTCCAGTGCATCAGCATGTCAACTCCAAGAATGCCAAAGATGTCAAGTTTTTAATCAGAGAGATCAACACAATTCACCCAGACAGCAAAGACACTTTTAAATACCATTGTTCAGCTGGTCCCTGGGACCTAAAAAAATCCCAGGATCGTCATCTTCAGATCCTGACAAAAGAAGAAAAAACAACACCTTTGCATTTACAATCTGTCCATACTTTACCACTAATGTGTTACATATCCCATCAGTCTTGGTTTGTCTACGTGGCTAAATGTAAAAGAATCTTATTTGCCTTGTCTCCTGTGATGAAGTTAGCTTGTAAAAAACAAAGCATATTTTGATATGTTACCTGGTCTGATATACACATGGTGAACCTGCTGCTGCTGCTTCTTCTTTATCCTAGAATATTGCTTTTTCAGTGCATTAATATCAGTGGTCATACGCTCCATCATCATGCTGTTAAAAGCAGCGTGATACTCGCTTCGGCAAGAGTCTATTGCTCCTGGACTTAATTCTGCAATGTTACTGGAACCCAGACTTTGTTCTTCATTCTGATCTGCACAGAGTGGAAATAAAGTGATGATGAGTAAATTGGCATACTCAAGGGTTCCGCAGATTATCTACAATGGAAGACTACGTCTGATTCCTACTGCCTTATTTAACTGTAGGCTTTAATTAAAAATGGACCATAATATGTATATTTAACAAAGCTGCACTATTTATAATGGGTAGTACTACATTTCTAGGACTATTGCTTGAGAACAGCAAGGGCTTGAGGGGCACTTGAAGAGTACAAAAATAATTAACAGAGCAATGCAAAGTTCTTCAAGTACCCGAAAGTACATCAAACCATCACTAACATAACTCAGAAACCGATCATTAAAGACACTCCGTTGGTCAAAGAGAAGGCTAACAACGCAAGTTATAAAATACAGTACAGCCAAGCAGGCATGACATTCCACAACCAACCTAGTGATACCACCAAGAACCAGTTACAGCACCACAGGGAGAAAGCTGTTAGTAACAAAAAGGGATAGGGGCAGAGCAGCTGAGGATCAGGCAACTTGAGAGCCTCTCTGACCAACAGCTGCAGAGCAACAGCTGCAGCACAATTTATTTTCACAGCTGCTCCTGATGCAACACCAAACTGGCACCCCAGGGTCAAGGGGATAATTCTTTTTCAAGGGATGTTTATTTGTCTTCGGCTTAGTTTGCAACAGCAGTTTGATGTTCTGACTAAGTGCTGGCTTGACGCAGCAGGTAAAGACTGACAGCCCCTCAGGAAGGGAAAAACAAAACACCACAGCAATCAAGAGGAAAATTGTAGTTCATAGGTCTCAGTGAAACCAAGCCGCAAGAATGATGATGTGTAATCAGGTAACGGTGAGTCTTACACCAGTCTGGGGTTTTTTTGGGGGGTGGGTTTGGACAAATAACTATAACCTCTGCCAGGATATGATAAAATCACTGTTGATCCGGTGCCATTTTGTAGAGGCTGCTGCAAGTTAACAAATGATCTGCTTGACTTGCATGGATCAGAATTTTGTTCTGTTTGTAGAGCTTGCACAGGTGAACGTCCAGTTCTGTCTGAAATTTTATTTCACTATGGAAGGACTTGAAAAAGAGTAAGATTTTGTGAGAACATCTTAAACCATGCCCAATTTTTTTAAAAAAATGTGAATATACCCAGAACGTACAACAGTCTGAAGGCTTGGCCAGAAGGGCCATGAAGTGAGCTGCAGAATTCGCTCACTGCTGTAGGTTCCAATATCAGCCGTGCATATGCTCATAAAGGTCAAGATTATTTACTACATGTACACTCTTCAGAGAATGCTGACTACCTAACAGCTTTCTTGAAAATAAGCACAGATTTAGGGTTTTTAGATTTTTCCACGTGTGCTTCCTTTTATTTCTGTGGGTGGGCAACGCTAAGTTTTTTAACCATTACTGTGGCCAAATCCTTAACCCACACTGTCATTTATTGCATATACATAGCCTTCAAACCTGACTTTGAAGACAACTTCATGGATCGCCGAGCAAGTAGTTTGGTACCTGCTGTAATCTCTACATGAATACAAACCACAGTTTTCCTGGCAGCGTTCACCAAGGAAGCTACAGATGTTTTCTGCAAGCTCATACAGATTTAACTACATTTTCCAAAATGAACAAAAGCACTCTTACCTTTCATCTGTTTTTGGTATTTCTGGAGCTCTGGTGCTAAAAATCCACTTAATGGTCCAAGACAGCCAATTGCATTGGCAATTGAGTCTTCATCATCTAGGTCATTCTCCTCATCACTGTCTCTGGTTCTGCCCAGCCTTCTGTCAAGTGAGAACATAAGACAAGTAAGAAAGAGATATTCTTAAATGTGATCATTACCAAACATCTTTGCCTTCTTTAGAGGCATACAAGGGAGGACACTATCTGTGTAGGGTAAACAATAACCCTATATGCCATGAGTAGTGCATTTCAAACTTACCCTGAAAGTGAAGTCGGTTTTACTGATGCAGGGAAAGGAGTAATGTTGTATGTGTATTTCTCCCTTAATTCTGCCAGTTGTGGGAAGGGAAACTGAGCCATGGTATAAACAGTCTAGGGAAAAAAAAAAGGCAGATTTTTAAATTATCATTTTAACTAACTGTCCCACAAAAGAATTCTCCATGAATAGACTTTTACAATCTTGCAGGATTAAAGGTTGCGCATTCTTATGTGCTATAAGAAAATGGAAATGGTCTAGTTTTATGATTCAGTCAGTATTTCCTGTAAGAAAAATAAAGACTGACTCATTAGAAGAATGCATGGTTCGAAGAAAAAAACCAAAATTGAACTGATAATACGAGATGTAGGGTCCTTTTCAACTCCTATACTTATTTAATAATTATTTTCAATCCTCTCCTTGCCAGCACACCAGAAATCCTCCTCCTCCAATTATGATTTCACTCACATGAATGCATCATTGAGGTTTTGGGCATCATCCAGAAGACCTGTTTCTGCTCCAATATTCAATAAGGTATTGACACTAGCATAGATAGGAAGAACAGATCCCCTTGATGTGGACTGTTAACAGAACCATTACTTTACCTGAGCAGCCCCAAGAGCTTGTGTGAAGGAAATCAATTTACAGCCAAAGAGGTAGGATCCAACACTATCCAGCTAACTTTTCTACTCTCAGTTTCCAGTTTTGATTGTTGGGGTGTGTGTTGTTTTTTTGTTTGGTTTGGGTTTTTTGAGGCAGAGGGGGTGGGTAGTGGTGGTTGTTTTTTTAAAATGAATTTGTTCTACGGTGAACACAGAAACCACTCAGCAACTCTCTGAACTCAACACGTAGTCACTAGAACTTAAAACAAGGCCATAAAAAAACCCTGAGACATTTTATTTACTTTGATATGCAGAGTTAAACAAGATAAATAGTTACAAATGCATTTGCTTTCAGCATTATTTTTGCTTTAATTGTAATAACAGAGTGTGCGTCACCAGCCAAACCTGGCATGAAGACACATGGCATTCATTGCAACATTGCCGCTGATTTGTCCCTACCTATTTTAGTTGCCTTTTTTATTTCCTGCTTTTGTACACTTACAACTATTCAGGACTTTCAAATAACTGACAACACAATTCTCTATGTTGACTCAATGTCAGAAGTAAAAAGAAAAAAAAATACCCACTAAAATATAATTTCTCATAGTTGCTCTGAAATATTATACCTTTTCCCCATCTATAAAATGAAATGTCTTATGAAAGACAACTATGTAAAAATTTCTTATTAGCTATGACAGGAAATCTTCACTTACACACATTTTTTTCCTGTGCTATTAAGCCAGTGACATTTTCACCTGAAGGCAAATGGCCTCAATTAAGGTGAAAGGAAATTCTGCACAATTTCTACATAGTCCATTCTTGAGCCATGCCTGGTCTGTGCTAAATACACTAAGGAAAATTGCAAACATGAGTTCAGTACCAGACCTTTCCTGACAGAAGAAAAAAACCCCAAGTTTCACTAACAGCAATGATGTAAGCAAGGAGGCAGGAAGGACACTCCTGGCTGGCCCAAGGCATGGGGCAATAGTGCAGCTAAGCAGGCTTCTGCGTGAAAACGCTTTCACAGTTTGAGGCATGCAGAGACTCTAAGACAAGGAGGATGCCTACGGAAACCCAGAGCAGGAACTGAAGCTTTGCCACTCCATGAAACTACAGTGCTACTGTGAAAGACAAATACTCTCTGGGACCTGAACAGCGATATCCCGGCAGTCTACCAGAGGAAGGAATTTTATGATCTGGAGAAAGACCTACCTCTGGCCTAATGTGTCTGTCTGATCTCCACCACACTTTCCTGGTTTTTCCCCCCATCTGTCTCAACTCTCGCCTTTCGTAGAGAAGGAGGTGTATCTGGAATTTATTTCTACTCTCTATGTCAACCACCTTTTCAGGTAACTCGTTCCATATGCTAGTTACCTTTTAAGTGAAAGTCAACTCCAAGTCCTCCATTTACTCCTTACACCTAATGTTTTAGATTATGCTTTTAGCACTTGCCTGTCTCCAGTCTGTGTCTCCTCCAGATGCTGTGTAATTTCTTTCATTTAGCATACACAGTTTTAGCTTAATTATTTGTTAGCAGATTATAACTGGAGGCCTCACTTGCCGCCTGGCTGAAAGATCCATAAAAGAATTTTACACTGAGGCAAGTTCCACTGGAAATTAAAAAAATATTGTCAGTCTACACCTGTGATCTCCTCACAGCAATGCTTCAAAGTACCCTGTTCCTAGTTTGTTCTCAGCCTTGGATGCCATTTGGTTAATTCTGGTAAAACTGTGTCAGAGGGAAACAGCCTACACATACCAAGCACGACACAGCCAAACTTACGACCTTATTTATAGCCATCAGGGACAGATTCTGGGAACAAGAAGAGAGACAAGGAAAAGAACACTCTTCTCACCCTGAATCAGTAGCATTTGACAATCCTTTGACTTACCCTGAAAATGCAAAGCCAGCTATACTCTCAACAGAACACCATACAGAACGTCATGGCTATGGCTCACAAAAGAGGGGAAGCAGTTTTGCAGACAGCTCAAACACACTTATCTCAAGAGCTGCCCCACAGTCATTTAAGGCACTTTCTCTCTTTTCCCTTTCACTAAAAAAACAAAACAAAAGCAAAACCAAACACAAAAAAAAACAGACAAAGTGCTACTCAAGTAGAAAGTTAACAGTGAATACCATTAAACAGGATAACTGTCTATGGGAGATACTCTAAAAAGCTAGGGTACTACAGAGGGATTATTCCCTGTTCCTCTCCACCACAGTAAACACACAGGGATGCTTCTCATCTCCTCTACCTGCAATGTTTTAATGAATTAGTTTATGGGTTTAAATTGAAAGTGGGGAGGTTTAGATTAGATATCAGGAAGAAATTGTTCCCGGAGAGGGTGGTGAGGCACTGGAACAAGTTGCCCAGAGAACCTGTGGATGCCCCATCCCTGGAAGTGTTCAAGGCCAGGCTGGATGAGGCTTTGAGCAACCGGGTCTAGTGGAAGGTGTCCCTGCCCATGGCAGCGGGGTTGGAACTAGATGATCTTTAAGGGCCCTTCCAACCCAAACCATTCTGTGATTCTATGCTTATAAAAATGCTTACTTTCTGAGAAGGCATGAAAGCGTGTACTCAGTCTAGCACAGTTTAGAATATCTACAGATACCTGGCATTCAGCCTTCTGTCTCCAGGTTAGAACCAAAGTTTATTAACAGGCCAGTAAAATGACATTACTGAATACTGTATTTGTTTAACTTCCAGTCCTGAATACACACCCAGTCTAGCACCTGATGGGTACAGCACTTACCTTTTGTTTACCTACACTGCTCCATCTGAAAAAGGAGGAAGCTGTAGCTGATTGCTCCTCCAATCCCTCCATGCTCTCCCTCAGCACACCACCATAAGAACTCCTGCCCTGCAAGGGCCAAATCTGTAAAAGCTTGAAGCCCTCAATCCTAGGTACATGTACTATCCACATGGGAAGGAGGGAGGCATTTTTAATGAAAAACTTGCACCAACTATAAATGCTGGTGGAGAGAATGAGGAGAAGAGTCCTTTGATCTACTGAGGACTATCAACACTTGCCCCTTAAGGATCAGTGGTACCTCTCTCCTTGAACTCCCAAAGGAAACAGGCCTTTTAGAGCACAACCTGTTTTCTAGTGGAGGAGGAGTGTCTGTTACTATTCACTGGCTTAAGTCAGCCTGGACAGGTAGTTCAGATGCAAATGTCAGTGTCATGCAAGTGTTTTTTTGAAAAGTGAGATGATTGCCACCAGCAACCTTTACTGAAATAGGTAGGGGAGGCAGAGTAGGATATTAATCCTTTCCCGCAGCAGGATACTAATCCTTGAGGTACCTTTTAAAAAGTATTAGATGTAAATTCACAACTGTGATTTTGACTGGGGGAAAAAAAAAGAACACACTTAAAGCAGTCTAAATATTCATCTCTGGCTGACTCCTCTGAAAAAGCCTAAAGCAATTTAAAACCCCAGTATCTTCAAGTAGCCTGGATCCTTTCATTAATGCAGTGGTTCTTCTCCAACATAGAGAAAACTGTTCAAATGCAGTAGCCAGACACATGGTGGCATTCATATCCCCTAATGGTAAACTCTTCCAGTACCTAATTCTCTCCACATACAGGAAAGAGCGCCTAGAATGAAGAGCTCAGAGAGGGACAGCTACACTGCTAGTGCCTGCCCTTGACCTGAAGAATGCTGTCTAAACTGTAGTGTAGTTTCTTCAGCTGATAGGACACAGATAAACCGAACACACTGCTTCTCTATGCAGAAAACTTAAACCTGCCACATTCTCCTTGTCAGTGGCAAGGCTGTCCTACCTTGATGCTCCTGTCAGTGTCACAAAATACACATATACGCTATGAATACACACATATTTTGCACCAAGTGCTTATTTTTTTCTGAAACACAAAAAGACTGCTAATTTAATATACTTGTAATTGCAACAGGTAAAAAAACCAAAAAGATCCTTCCATCCCTCCAGCCAGTATCTTACCTCTGCCTTGTCTTCTATTACACACAACGGCCAAGAAAGAAATCCAGAGTCAACTAAAGCCCACTTCAGCTTTCCCAACATTATTCTTTGTCATGAATGCCACATCTAGATTTGTACTACCCTTGAGACCAGGAATGAAACACAATGAGTATGAGAAGGCATCAACTTGTGCTGCCTTCATCACACAACCTCAATATGTGAACTGTCTTGTGAGAAACCCTAACACTTCTTTAAAAAGCAACAGAACCTCTGACCAGCTGCATTTCCATTTTTTAAGCAAAACAAAGCCACAGTGCTCACCCCCTCCCATCCCTAGAGCTCCCTCATCATGCAAAACAACAACAATAACAAAAATAAAAGAACTGCAAGTAATTCTTTACTTCAGGTCAGTACTTTACCCAACTAGGGAAGTGCATTATCCCAGACAGTAACTTTTGGTTCCAATAACGGGTAACAGTAGTCACCTTCTAACTACTGTTAATAAGCTCCTGCAACTTCATAGACTGGGACTGACATTTTTCCTTCCCCTATCACAGGTAAAAGGTTTCAGGTTATTATGTGCTCTCTATTTGCACCCACTTACTCATCATGCTCTAACTCATCAAAAGCAAAGTTCCAGAACTGTAGCATGAAGTCTTCATAAAACATCTAAATAGACAACACCTCAAGGATATCACAAAAAGAAGTGTAAAGTGAAAATAAATAAAAATTTATCTGCAATACTACAGGCCCTTTTCTTTCCCACAACAACGTGGATCTTTGTTGTCATACAATGATGTATGGTTCAAGAATTCAGGGACTGCAATTATCTACAAATGTCTTTGTTTATTGTTCACTGAGGACTGGTTTTTTTGTTTTTTGGTTTTTTTTTTTTTTACATCATGAAGGGTATTTTTTTCCCTTCTCACTTGATAAACTCATCTCCCACAGCTTCTGTAGAATGAAAAGGACACCGTGTAATAAGTAACTGAACAAAACATAAAAGAACAACCTAAAAATTATGACTACTAAAAGATTCTACATCTTACATGTGTAAATCCAATTGGGCATTATACCACAACAAACTTTCAGCTGCCAACATACAACCAACTTTTATCAAATGGACCCTTGTTGTTCTCTATACTTATCTTAAGATTTTAGCTTTAACTGCAGGTCATCTCTTTGTTTCACTAAGATAGCTGAACTCGCTTAAACTTTTATTCTTGGGAGAGTTAAAAGTTTCTGCAGTATCTGAACAAAAATGTAATTTGTTAGAAATCAGCACTTGAAGGATGCACAGAAACCACAAACAATAATTATTCCGCAATTACTCACCTGCATGAGTTCATTGCTGTCAATCAGACTGTCTTCCAGCATCTCCTGGGTCAGCTTGCCCATGGTACTGTAAAACTCATCCGCAGTTTCACAACACTCTATTTGTCTACATCAAAATACATGTTAGTTTTTTTTATTTTACATATTATTATACACCTCCAAACCACAACTGAACTTTCTGTCATCATAAAATATGCGCTTCCATTAGTCACCTTAATTCTTAAGTTTATTGCAATCGTGCCTGACTAACTTGGTGGCC